GAACGACCCTAACATCTACAGCACTGACTTACAGGGGCAGATCTACAGTTTCAGTTTATCACAAGCCCCGTTAGGATTGCACTTCTTCCAAGGATGGGCTGCTACCCTAATTTATGGCACCAAACATATAGTTCAAAGTTTTCTGTTCAGGGCCTATGACTCTGAACTTGTCTATTTATCGGGAATAGCTGAGCAGGGTTGCACAGGTCTGTAGCTCTAGCTACACTGAGGCAGAAAGCCCAGAAGTTCACGACCAGCCTGGACAACAGTGGGAAACCCTATGGAAGAAGAAAAAGGAGGAGGAGGGAAAGCAGAAGGAAAGGAGAAAAGAAAGTTGAATCTAAAATTATTTTATTCCTGCATCTCCTTAATTGTTTCTTCCTTATATTTGCTCTTTTCCTTTCCTACTTAGAGAAGTTTGCCTTTCACTTCAAGGATCTTTTCATGATCTTTGTCCAGGTTCAGCCCGGTGATAAACACTTTACTAGAGTGAATGCCCACAAGAATGGCTGTCCCATTCGCCTTTCCCCCTGGCCCCACCCAGTGTAGATGACATATCTGTTCCTCTGAAACTCGGACCGGGCCAATTTGCTGGCCTTTATAGTGTCCTCACACAATCTGAACCTCACCATCCTTTCAGACGGGCACGAATGGGGCACCATATTTCTATCTTGGCTCTTTGGCAAGATGGGAAGAATAAGCTTCCTGACATTGTAGGCAGGTGCACTGAAATGCCTTTTATAGTTCTTGCTTTGGCCAGAAGTCACAAAGGAACATAGTTTTGGCCACTACCACTTTAGCAATGGCCCTGAAAGGGAAGGGGTAGTGACGATTTTCTAGTAAACACTTCAAGCTTTCCTCAGTGATCTGAGTATCACTTGTATCTTGTACCAAATACCCATATGTATTAATCCACCTCTAATTTGTCTATTTTTTTAATGATCCATATGTCTGGTCTTTTGCCAATACCCCTATTATTATTAATATAGCTTTGAAATATGTTTTTGAACCATATCCACATCAAATATCATCCACTTGTTCATGTTCTTTTACAAGTTTAGCTTAGATGTCCATGGGTTTTAACCTTACACATACATTTTAATGTAAATTATTACTAAATTTCTCAGATTTATTCATAATTTATATTAGTATTCCATTGAATATATAAGTTAATTAGAAGACACATGAGCTTTTTGTATATTGATTTTTCACTCAAAGATATAGAATTACTCGATTAAATCACACAATATTTTTACTTAAACCTTTTAAGTTTAAAATTTTAAGTCTAAATTTTACTCCAGAGTCTTCCCTAGTTAAACTAAAGTTTAAAATTTTAAGTCTAAAATTTACTCCAGAGTCTTCCCTATTTAAACTAACTTGTGTCATAGTCACAACGCTATATTTACTGCAGGTATTTTTATTGTCGTCACTTCCCAGATCAGGAAAGTGAGTCCAAGGAAATAACTAACTTTTGAAATATATACCGCAAGTAAGTAGCAGAGCCTGGATTCAAATAATTGAAAGTGCTTACGCTTGACCACTGCACTGCCTCTCTGTCAATCTCTTTGTAGTTTAGCTGATACTGTGAATGTTACCTTCTTTTTAGCATTTCCTAATTGATTTTTTGAAAAGGCAGGAAAATTCAGTTGATTTTTAATTTTCTTTTTTTATGTTTGTAGTACTGTGTATTCAGCCCAGGGCCTAGTGAGATCCAAGCTCATACTCTACTGCTGAGCTAAATCCCTAGCCTGGTTGTTTTTTTAAAGATAACATGGGTATCCTCTGAAGTTACTATTGTAGTCAGGGTTCACAAGGGAAAAGATTTAATACAGGACACAGAATTTATAGGATTATTCTATAACATTCACCCAAAGAGTCAAATGCATAAAGTGACGGATGTCTGTCCACAGATTAGAGACCCAAAAAATCCAGCTGAGGGCCTGAACACCATGGCAACTTGCGTGAGTTCAGCTGGAGGCCTAGAGCTCACGACAATGTCTCACGCAAGTCTGCATCAAGTATCTGCACTGGGAAGGTTCAAAGGCCAGTGGTGGAAGCTAGAAAGTCTGTGCCAGGGGGATGAAGGCTCTGTGCCAGCAGGCTGAGGGATCTGCACTGGAGCCAGGAAGCGACACTCAAAGTAAGGACCAGAGCTCCCCCAAAGAGAACTGCAGCCATCGTCAGCGACAGCGAGGACCTGAGCTCCTCCGACAATGACAGTAGCCAAGTTCACCTTAAGAAAGCCAGCATGGCACGCTTCTCCAGGAGAAGCAACAGCGCACCATCTTCCCCTGCAGTTGTGCTTTTATGCTGTTTCCAACAATCCCCAGGCGGCCTTCCACACCCAGCACCATGCGGATTCAGCTCAGCTGGGTGTTACAAGTTGACCATTAGTCAATCCACCACAGTCACTGACTTCTCTTTTTATTTCTATTACTTGGTCTATTTAGTCTAGTTTATCTTTTGCCTGTCTTTTTGTTTGTTGGTTTCATATATTAGCGTTCTAAAATTGAGTTTTAGCTTTTCCTTTCCAAAGTCTGCATCTCTCATTTCTTTTTCTTTCCTTACAGCATTGGCCAAAAGCTCTACATAGTGCTGGACACTGTGTAGTAGTAGTGACGGGCAAAGCCTGTCTGTTACAGAAAAATAATGTTATCGCAAAAGGAAGTACTTGTTTCATCTTGGCTAGAGTATGTACAATACATCTGGAAAATGTTTCACAGAAATGTGGGCGAGAAACTGTTTCTGATGGCAAAAATTCATCTGAACAGAGGTCCTGCGTTCGTCTCTGTAGTAGAAATTACTTTTCTATTGAAGATAGCCCTTCCAGGGGAGAAATAGCTCAGCTGTGATAAACTCAACTTCATTCTGACTTTAAGTTCTTTAAGACCCATCCTAAACCCCTGCGACACAGCACAGCTCTGAACCAGCTCTGAACTCAGCCCTGGGTGCAGCCAGGCCCACTGGAGGCTCCAAGCTGGTGGCCAAACAACGCCTCTGCCCTACACACACAGTGACTAATGCTTGCAACAGAAATGAGTGAACAGAAAAGCCCCCGAGAGCCTCACACCCAGCACCTCCAAAATACAACTTTTCCCTGTCCGCTCCAAACTCGCTACCCACTTACAGCAACCTCTGCTGCAGGATCCGCAACAACTTCCATTCGGCCATTCTCTGTGCCTTCCTTTCCCTCTCGCCGGAGACATCACCTGGTTTGGGTCTATTGCCGCCCTCAGAATCGACTGGGTCCGCCCTCGGTCTCCATCCTGACGATGTGGCTGTCCACTGCCAACTGCTCCCTCTGCGACCCCCCTGGCCCCTGGGGTCCATCCTCCACACTCTGACTGAAGGGATCTCCCTGTCACACAAATCCAACCACACCTCCTGCCTAGAACCCTACAAGGCTCCCACCACCCTCCAAACAAGCACTCCTGAGGATGGCGTGCACCACCTCGCCACAAGGCCACTCCGTCCCCCCTCACGCTGCAGGGACAGAAGGACCCTCCAGCCCCTACCTCCCTGCACCCTGATTCCTGTTTCCAGGGCTCGTACTTGCACTCCTTCCCAATGGAAGGAATCGAATGCCTACTTGACCTTTCACGCTCAGACCTGGTGCCGCTGCCCCAGGAGCCTTTGCTGCCCCCAGGACCCCATTGTTGCTGCTCAGCTGCATGTTCACTCTGAGCCCTTCCTCCCAGGACCGTGTGCGCCCACCCCGCCAAACCCTGACTTCTCTCCCACCCTGCTAGAAACTAGATTCCCTGAGGGTGGACTGACGGTATAGCCATCCTGGTCCTACGCCTCATTTTTGAGAGGACTATGAACCGAGCCTCAGATGTGGTGTGGGAGGGCACCCAAAGCCTGGCGCAGACAGGCCGGCCGAGAGGCGGGGCGTGAGCGAGGGACGCCCCCTCCGGAAGCGGCGGCCCGCGCGC